AATGCATCAGGCTTCACTTCATAGTTTAACACTGTAGATCAAATGGTCACTTTTTTTGGATACTTGAAAATACATGAAATATCTCACATCTAAAACTAAGTTTATGATCTGTATTCGCTGAAATGCACTCACCTCCTGATGTGTAACCACATCATAAGTGTTGTAAGAGCAGAATTCTGGAAGATATCCTTGTTACTTGCCTCTCACTTCTACATACCATCCACCCTCAACAAACGGTTCAATCTACCTCCTCCACAACATCCCTCAGCATTCCATCTCTACTATCACCTGAGACCATGTTACCATCATATTTCACCAAAGCCAGAATCATTACAACACCCACGAAGTCATTTATCCTCCTTGACTCTAGCCTATCTTTTAACTCATTCCCTACTCTTTAGACTGATCTAACAATAAAAATTTAATCCAGTTATCAACTCTGTTTAAAGCAAAATTCCTTAACATTACCCACAATGCCCTGGATCAATGAATTCATATTTTTTGGTGGGTTCATTTGTTGCAGCAGAACAAATCACCTAAAATATTAATGGCTTAAAAATAACAGTGTAATATTAGTACTGAGGATTCTATGAGTTGTTCAGCCTCAGCTGACAAGCTGTCACCCAGTCTCTCACATAGTTGCAGTAATAATTTGGCTAAAACTGAGATCATCTGCAGGCTCAGTCAAGCTGGATATCCAATATGGCATCTTCATTCACATATATGAGGATAGGTGGTATACCTTTCTCTTCATGTATTCTTTTTCACAGCTAATGTCTAGTTATTCCAAGTATGGCGGGCTTAAGATACTCCACTTCTTACAACAAGTTACTTTTTTCAGAGTGTACTTTACAAGAAACCCCCCCAAAAAAACTATAAAACTTCTGATTTTGCCTCAAAAGTTATTCAGTATATCACCTAACTTGATCTAGATGTTAAAAATCAAGTGACAAGTTTAGTCCAGATTCAAAGGAAGAAACTCTAAAGCAGCTTGAATGTCTGAAAACAGTTCATTGGAAAAAGAGAGTGTGTAGTGGGGAGTATCAACCATACCTATCTCTTCAATCCCTTTGTATATCACATCCCCTACAGCTTCTTCCTTCTTAGCTACCATAGATTTCCTTCAGAACCTTGTTCTTGCCATACTTGTTCTTGATTGCTCATATTCACACCACTTTCTTTACTTTGAATGTCATACAGTAGCCTTAGCTCCTGTTCAACTTTCAGCTCTCTGTCAAGCCTTATGAAAGCCTTCCCTGTCTCCCCTTGCCAGGTTAAGTTATGTAATATATAACCTTCAAGGATTAGACATGTTCTCCAAAAGATCCTCATCCCCACTGCATTTTTCATTTCTCTGGGTGATTATGCAACTTGTATCTCAAGATCCTGCAGCATGCTGAAAGGAGAACCTTGTCGATTTCTGGTTATCCAATATATATTTGCAGATGAAAGAAATTAAGAAAATCAATCTCTGTATAACAAAATATCTTCTCCTTTATGAATTACAGTGAAGCATATAGTTCACTGTATACTAGACATTTAGACAACCCCATATATAAAGCATTTTTCATCCAGCCAATTTGAAAAAATGTAAAGACCATACTCCTTTGCTATATCTTGCCTACAACGTTAGTAGATATCTAAAGAAAACAATTACTATATACCAATTATGGAAGTTTTGTGGTATTTTTTCCAATCACTTTACAAATAAGCCTAAAACTAACTTTTATTTTAATTTCTATGCCTAAAAGAAAAAGAAAAGGTGGTAAGTGAACCAAATCGAAGAGTGAATCAAGAAAGAAGTGACTTCCTCCATTACACAGGAAACCATTACTGATAGTGGAGACTACTAGAAGCATCTACTTAGATGCTTCTACACAGACCATACCTAATTCTTCTTTGACTAAAACTCCATACATAATGCTACCTGCTCCCACTACCTTAAAATACATTGCCTAGAAATCAACATATCACAACTGTCATCCCAAAATGGAAAAAATCATCCTGAAGGTTAACACAAAGAACAAAAGATTATATTGAGCCCATTGCCAGTGGCTCACACCTGTAATCCCTAGCTACTCAGGAGGCTGAGATCTAAGAATTGCGGTTTGAAGCCAACCTGGGCAGAAAAGCCAGACGAGACTCTTATCTCCAATAAGCTGCTCAGAAAAAGCTGGAAGCAGCACTGTGGCTCAGGTGGTAGAGCGCTAGTCTTGAGCCCAAAGAGGCTCAAGGACAGTGCCCAGGCCCTGAATTTCAAGTTCCAGGACCAGCAAAAAAAAAAAAAAGGATTGCATTGGAGAAGATACATTCACTAGTAAATGGCTCTTCCTCTATTTTTGTTAAAGAAAAGTTTGAGTAATTATAAATAGTATAAGATTCATTATCCAAAAGTTCATTCTATTTTTGGTATTTGAATTCCAACTACGAACCTGAATTGTTTGCACCAATTACATCTAGTCTAGTGACAGAAATTTTCTGGGACTCTGTTCCAGTCTTCATGTGTTTACTTATCCCTTCTCACTACAACCTAACCTCTACTGAGGCATCAGCTTGGACAGTCTCCACATTCATTCATCCAGTAATTTATTGGGGTCTACATTGTGATCCCAATAAATTACTGGATGAGTGAATATGATAGGCTTCAAGAATTCTATCTAGTCTTAATATTTATGAATATGCTTATTTTTAATCAAGAATACATTGTCAACATGAATAAAATTACTATTTTTTCATTTATCTTTATGAGCTTTTTGTACATTATTCATTCTATTTTGGAGGGTTTCTAAATGTTTTCTCAAAACTAGTAACAGTGGCTAACACCTGCAATCCTCACTACTCGGAGGGATAATAAGGGAGATTGTGTGGCCTAAGGCCATCCCTGGCAAAAACTTTGTGAGATACCATCTTAAGCAATAAAAAACTGGGTGAGGTTGTGTGCCTGTCATCCTAGCTCTCTGTCCAGGCTGACACAGGCAAAAAAACAAGAAAAATTAATTTTGAAAAAGAAAGCTGAGGGCTCTAAGTTTAAACTGTTTTGTAATATGATAATAAGTTTTCTAGAATAAAATTACTTTTTTCTCAGTGCCTGATCAGGAACCCATATATATTATGTAGTTTGAGGAGTCTGCTCAGTTCAAAGAAATCTATGGAAAATAATTAAGAAGTCTACACACAAGTACATGAGTATGAATGTCATTTTTGACAATAAGTGAGCCTCCAGTTCAGTAAATATACAAAAACTCTAAAAATTAATGCATCCATTCATAGGACATAAAGATAGATTCTAAATCTAACCTGAATCCAAATTCAGTCTCTTAATAAATTGTAATATTTTATATTAAAAGATTGAATTAATACTCTGGGAGCCAGTGGCTCACGCCTGTAATCCTAGCTACTCAGGAGGCTAAGATCTGAGGATTTTGGTTCAACGTCAGTCCAGGCAGGAAAGTTGTAAGACTCTTATCTCCAATTAGCCACCTGAAAACAGGAAGTGGCACTGTGGCTAAAATGGTAAGAGTGCTCGCCTTGAGCTGAAGAGCTCAGGGACTTCCCAGGCCCAAAGTTCAAGCCCCACACCACCCCCCCAAAAAAAGATTGAATAAAGTTGAAACATTCATTATAGAGTTAATGAGTAATAATTTTAATACCAAATAGTCCTAGTAAAAGAAATTCCTTGCCTGGTATCCTGTACAATGAATACTGATCAACAAAATATGACTTGTGAGTTTTCTGTGGGTGAGTTTCTCTTCGATTTTGTACCTTACTTCTCAAGTCATTGATCACACTGAATTATTCAGAGCTAAACATTTTTCCTTTGTCTTACTTCTTGTTAAGTGTTGGATTAAAATCTAGATTATTGACTTTTACACTATAATGTATTCAATGGAAATTTTAACTCTTAGGCAAGTTTTACCAGCTCTTCAGAGCCTCCATTTTCATAGATTGGAGCTTTAAAAAAAAAAAATTGTGTTACAAGACACACAACTGGCTTGCATTTATCAACAGCACTAACTTTTGCCTTTTGGAGTTGTTTGGTTCTCTTTTAAGTTCACTCACATTCAGTGGTGAGAGAGAGAGAGAGAGAGAGGCACTTAAGCACGATTTGCAAAGTGATTTTTCAAGCCTTGATTTCCAATCTTTCTAACTCTTGACTCCACCTATGTGTACTACAGCAACCATCCAGAAGGCTTAGAACAAAGACAGATCTTTGCATAGTTCTTTCTCTAGACCCCAATCAATCAAATCTTTTAGTATTTTATACAATGAAGAAAAAATAAATCGAAACATATTCAGTATTAATTTGGATTACTTTGGGCAGTTAATTTCAATCTCACCCAGATATACACACACATATACATGTATGTGTATCATGAATGTATGTATCCCATCCTCCCTCCTGTCAGAACTAAGGTTCTTCCTCCTCGTTTGCAACTAAGGCCAACACTCACTCTTGAAGTAGGAGTAATACCGAGGGACAGGAATTTCAGACCTATTAGAAATATGAGCTATATTCCTTTTGTCAAGGCAGTTCCCTGGTTGAACAGTGTTGGTGGTTAACGTCTGAGCTATCTATTTTTCAAGCTGAAGTCTTGTCAAGGGCAGATGCAAGGTGAGCACTTCTCCTGGTCCCCGGGCAACCCAGAAGGATTTGTGAATGACTGTGAAAGGTCTGCACCACCTCCCAGCTAGACGCAGGCGCTGCCTTGAAAACAGCAAGGCGAGGCTTGGGAAATGCCTAGCACATTCGGTATCCCCTAGATAAGACGTACGTGTACACATACACACACACACACACACACACACACACATACACACACCACACACACCACACACACACACACAGCAGCAGCAGCAGCAGCAGCAGAGCCCTGCGGGGAAGCGGCCGGGGAAGCCCCGGTCAGCATCCTTCCCCAGCCCAAGTGCGAAGCCGGCCTCCGCCTCCGCGCCGGGGCTCGCTCCGCGCCGGGGCTCGCCCTCGGTCTCTCCGCCGGCCTTACCTCGGGGGCTGCTTTCTTGCAAGTACGGCGGGGCGGTGGGAGTGACATTTCCCGAATGGGATGCTGACAGCAGAGGCGAGCGTTCGTCCACCCCATCCGCAGCCATGGCTGACTGCAGCAGCGGCGGGGCCGGCGGGGGGCTGAGCCGGAGGCTGCGGCTGGGACGGAGGGGGTGGCCAGTGCCGCCGCGGCCGCCGCCGCCGGGATGTGTCACAAGGCTGGAGGCGGAGGGAGGAGAGGGTGCGGGACCGAGGGGCGGGGGAGGGGAGGCATGCTGGGGGAGGAGAGGGCCGCGAGGAAGAAAGAGCTGGGGGGGGGGGTGGGGGGGGGGAGACGTGGAGGAGCCCGAGCCCAGCCAGTGGAGAAAAGAAGAACAAATTAGGGCTGCAGGGGAGATCTGGGAGGGGGAGGGGCCAAGCCGCGCGGGGAGGGGTCCCGGGAGGGGGAGGGGGTGTCTGTTCGCCAAGGCAAAGGTGGAGACTAGAGCAGCCTTGAAAGGGATTCGGAGAAAAGGCCGATCTTGATTACAGGAAAACTAGAGCAAACACCAATAACCAAGCTTAGCTCCCCCAGGGGGGCAAGGCGACTGACTTTGCTGTCCAACTTTGTAGCAATTGTACAAAGAAGGCTTATTTCTAGGGTCATCAATTCCTTCTGGAGGGGTTCTTTGTTAGGAAATAATTGCTCCTCTTGTGTTGTTTAAGAGGAAGTAGATTTTGCAGACATAGCAAGCCCCATTTCCCTTATTGTTGTTTTTTTTTAACATCACACTTTAGGATTTTTAACAGTACCTATGCATGTGTGCTGGCTTTTACAAGTTGCATTTTACAAAATATGTTGCTCTGTGAGATACGTAAAAGGTTAAAAAATAATGAGAGACAAGTATAAATAATATTCTGGCAATCATGTTTTAAAATAATCTACTTGTAAACAAGTTAGAAACCAGAAAAGCTAAGCTTAGTTTTGTGTTACTGTTTAGGGTTTCTTTTTCTTTTCTCTTCTTTTCTTCTCTTTTCTTTTCTGTCTTCCTTTCTTTTTCAGTGGTTTGCCATAGTTCTAAAGTTGTTGACTGAAAACAAAAGTAAATCAGAGTTTGTTTTTGTAATATGCCAGAATAAAAAATGAAATACGCAAAGATTGGGAGGATGTGGTCCAAAGCCAATCCAGACCAAAAAAAAAAAGAAAAAGAAAGACCTGATCTCAACAAAATTCCTTATAATCTCAGCTATTTGGGCAGCATAGGTAAGAGGATCACAGAGCAAGATTAGCCAAGACAAAAGGCAGGAAACCCTATCTGAAAAGTAAGAGAGTTCAACAAAAAGGGGCAGGAGACGTGACTCAGATGTTGGTATTTGCCTAGGAAGTGTGACACTGACACTGAATTCAAAGCCAAGTACTGCCAGAGAGAGAAAGAGCATTAAGAAAATAGGCATTGCCTAGAAATATTATTGCTGTCTTAGTGGGCCTCCACAGATATCTAGAGCCTGGTCTCAGTCCTTAGCTTGAGAGAGGTAGCAAAGTCAAGCTAAGCAAAAAATGAGCCTGGTAATCTCAGCTATAGATTTCAGTAGTTATAAGGAGAAGCAAATGTCAGACATTTGAAACCATGTCTCATGTTACTTTAAAAAGGGTCCTTGTTTTGTTCTCTGCAGACATGCGCTTTCTTCCAGAAAATCCATTTAGGTATCAGCTAGAAATCCTAGGGGAAACATCAAAGAATGGTGGTTTCTCTTGTGCAGTATCTCTTGTTATCAGTAACATGGATAAAATGAAAAATAAGTATCCTCATATGAGATAACTAAAGGCATGTGTAAGTTTAGGAAACTGAAGCATCACAACGTAGGACTCTCTGCAAAAATGCCTATAACTTACAAGGTGAATAACAGTATTTTTATAGTGGTAGATAGGAGGCTGTTGACTTTTAAAAGATTTTAGGAATCAGGCTGGAAGGTAGCTCAGTGGTAGAGCACTTGCCTTGCATGCATGAAGCCCTGGGTTCGATTCCTCAGTACTGTTAGGTTTTTAAAAAGAGGTGGCCGAGTAAGAACTGCACCACGCACGTGGTATTCAGGTAAGGGGTAGGTTTATTCAGTAGACCTGCTGGGACCAGGCAAGGTTGGCACTCCACGCGGCTGGCAAAAGGAAAAGAGAGCGGTCTGGCCGCGGTTTAGGCCTTATATAGGGTAGGGGGTGGGGAAGGGTGTGTCCAGGTAAAGGGAAGTGGGATCAGGTGGGAGAAAGGTGTGGCCACATCAGGTTAAGATGTGACCTCAGCGGATGCGGATGTGACCTCTTCCAGGTATCCCAGTTGCCTAGGTAACGCAGGTACTGGGTGAGGTCTGTTCGCCGTCCAGGAATGGACCTTACAAGTACCACATAAGCAGAAAAAGCCGGAAGTGGCACTGTGGCTCAAGTGGTAGAACGCTAGCCTTGAGCTGAAGAGCTGAGGAACAGCGCCCAGGCCCAGAGTTCAAGTCCCACAATGGACAAAAAAAAAAAAAAAATTATAGGAATCAAAGAATCGTGGTACAGGTTGGATGAATATTACCCAATAGCCATATGTAAAGGCTTGGTCCTCATTGTGGTAACCATTGTGGGAGGTGCTGGGGGCCTTGGTAGAAGGTCCCTAGATTATTGAAGGCATGCCCTCAAGAAGGAGTGAAGGCCCCAGTCTCTGTTTCTTTCTGCATCTGGGTCTTGATGTGGTGGATTAAAAAAAAAACTAACTAGCAAAAAATAGGGTTGGAGGTATGGCTCAAGTGTACAGCATCAGTCTAGCAAGTGATGCAAGGCCTTGAATTCAAATCATGGCTCTAAAAACAAAAGCCTATTGATACAGGAAAGCAGATAGATGGTTGATAGATAGATGAGTACACATAATTTGCCTCAGTTTCATGTTCTCTTTGGTTCAGATGTGTTTTGTATTTATAAATAAAATATCTACTAGTAAACAGTAAATAGAGATGAGGCAAATAAGAAAAACCATTTCTTGTAATGGAGGTAAACTCAATTGCAGGAAGACATTGGAAAAATTGTTAGTATATAATGCAAATATGATCATTTGCCCAGTGAAGTGGTAAACATCTATAATCCAAGAATTTAGAATTTAAGGCAGGATGATTTTAAGTTCAAGACCAGCTGATCTATATAGCTAGAAGCTTTCTCAATAAACAAATAAGAAACAGAGAAATAGGGAAAATATGACTGTTTGTTACTCTATTAACCATGAAAACAAACATTTTGGTTAAAAAATTTTAATAACTTCTACATGATAATATTGTGATAACTACATCTTAATTTATCATGCTATTTCAAGGACCTAACCTGCTTGTCTGTTAACATAATTACCAGTTATAATTAGTGCCTTAAAAGCAATATCAGGTATATTTCACTATCCTCAAAGAAGTTTGTCTGAAAAGTTTGTGTGTGTTTGTGTCTTAGGGTAAAGAACTGTAGAAGTAATTTTATGTATGGAAGTAGTTGCCCTTTTCAACAGCAGATTTTTCTCCTATTAACAAAATGTGGTTTTGATGTGTGATTCTTCCTACTTCATCTCTTCACCAGTGTTTTCAAACTAGTTAACTCAACTAGATTAACATCTCAATTGGTTATATTCTAGCATTTTCATATGCTCATTAGAAATACTGATAATTGGGCTGGGAAGGTGGCTCAGTGGTAGAGTGCTTGCCTTGCATGAATGAGGCCCTGCGTTCAATTCCTCAGTACCACATAAGCAAAAAGAAAAAAGCCAGAAGTGGCGCTGTGGCTCAAGTGGTAGAGCGCTAGCCATGAGCTGAAGAGCTGAGGGACAGCCCCCAGGTCCAGAGTTCAGACCCCACGACCGGACCCCCACCCCACCCCCAAAAAAAGAAATACTGATAATTAAGCTTGGAGAAATGCAACATTAGTCAAAGTGGTACAAAATAGTTATCTTTCTTTTCTCTCCATGTTCTTGTTTCCTTCTCTCTTTTCTCTTTGTTTCCTTTGATTTTTTTTTAATAAAAGAGTAGTACATCTATGACTGAATATTCATATGACTGAAATTCATATGTTGAGTCTAACCTGTGATGTGACTATATCTGGAGAGATGAGATCTCCAAATTAGGTAATTAGATTATGAAGTCATAAAAGTGGGGCACTGTTTCAATAGAATTATTCTCCTTATAAGAGATATCAGTGATCTTATTGCTTATTTTCTCTACAAGCATTCCCTCAGGAAATAATACACACTTAAAATATGGCCACCTTGCAAGTTTTGAAGACAACTCTCATTGGAAATCAAACTTGTTAGATTTTGATCTTGGACTTCCAGCCTCCAAAATCATGAGGTAATGAAGTTCTGTTGTTTAAACTATCCAACTGTTGCATATGTTATGGCAGATCAAACTGATTAATAAATCTGCAAAAATTAGATTAGTTTTACAATGTTTGTTAGTACTCAGCCACAACAATATACTAGGCAAGTATTGAACCTCTAACCTATATCTTATGCTCAAAGATTACCTTTATAAAAAGTGCTGGCATCAGTACCTCATGCCTGTAATCCAAGCTACTGGGGAGGCTCAAATCTGAGGGTCGAAGTTCAAAGGCAACCCGGGTGGGAAAGTCCATGAGATTTTTATCTCTAACAATGGTAGAGTGCTAGCTTTGAGCAAAAGAAGTTCAGGAACTGCTCAGACCCTGAGTTCAAGCCCAGGACTATTGCCCACAAATAAAGCACTTTTACCCTTTGGAGACATACATCCATACCACCCTATACACACACACACACACACACACACACACACACACACACACACAGAATTACATGACATGTTTTTTGATAAATATATACATATATACACACATTTACTTGACATATTCATCTATATAAATATATGCAATATGCATTTCATATAGGAAATCTATTTTAGATAATAAAAGCAGTTGAAAAATGTGCAAACACATTTTATGAGAAACTTCCTTTTCCTATGATTTCAGAAGCCAGTTAGGTAAGAAAATTAACCGTTAACCGTCTTAGAAATTTTTTTCCTTCATACTCACAGAATGCAGAGCTACATTCTGGTTTTATTTTCTCCTTTGGATTCCATCTTCCCAAATGTTTGACTGACTGTTAATTACAGTTTATTTAACACTGACATATTTTTCAATGTTTAAGAGTTTGGCAGCATATTACTACTCATTCACTG